GGGGTTGGACTGGATGATCTCCTGAGGTCCCTTCCAACCCCTACGATTCTGTCCAGAAGCTCTTTTTTCAAGAATGGCTCTTTATTTTTCTCTTGTATGGATAGTTAAAGCAGAATTTACAAATATCATGTGTATTTCTGACAACTGCAGTTCTGAAAAGAACATCCAGTTTGGGCTGCCTCTGATTTGTGTCCTTTACCAATTTCTCATGATATCCCTATAGATTTTCTACCATTTTACTGACACTGACTAAATTTATTTTTGATGAATCCTTTGAAAACTTTATTTGCACATTTAGTGACAACTTAATAGGCATAATGGCAAAGGTAAAAGCAGTGCACAAGCTTGTTTACAGTGTTTCAAGCAGTTTATAATGTAGAAGAAAGGTTACACTCCCTGATAAAATGTGGTGCAACAAAAATTCTGGTGTTGCTAGTTAATTTATGATAGCAGCAAGGAGAAACCTGTGCTAAGCAAGGCTATGTAGCACTGATAAAGTAGCTACACTCTTACCTAAATCTAGTGAAGACTTGTCTGAAACTCTGACAGCCTGGACATTCTGTTCAGTATCCACACTGATAAGGTCAGAATTGTCTGTCTTCTTTCTGTGGGTTGAAGCTTTTAAGCCTTCACTTCTTGATGGATTCTCTGATTTCTTTGCTTTGTTTTCGGCTTGTAAGACAGGTTCACTAAGATCCAAGAGATCCAGACCTGTTGATAATACTTAGATACAAAATGTTAGAATTCAGTGTTGTTTTAATTCAAATGGCTAGCTTTTAAAAATTTGTTTTAATTGAAAAAAAAAATTACCAATGTACTTGCATTTGTCTCAAGTAGATGTATATTTCCTGGCTAAAGATGGTGACCAGCATATTCAAATATGACTAGGGATTTCAGGTGCTTAACTGGATGCAGTTTAAAAGGGCTTGGTTTGCACAAAATGCTTTTCCTCTGAAAATCTTAAAGACATCTTAGGTCTTAAAGCTGTGGCCTTACTCCACAGGTTTTCTTATGTTGTGAGGGTTCCCTGTACAATTGAGCTTTTAGATAAGATTTGGTTTAATCTCAGGTTTTATCAAGTACCAGTAACAGCTGCTTAGGGCACTACTGTTGTGCCACATGCCGTTAAGGAAAAAGCTGAAGAGCAGACAGCTTCTTGGGTGGACTTCTTGGGTCATAAAGGAATAATGGTATGTTTAGTAGTGCTTTCTACTGTTGTTGCCATTTGTCTTTTGGGGGATAAATATTGAATATAATTATAAATTCTACTGGTATTTCTGCTAAGGCATATTTCAGTCTGAGTTCTTCATTTAAAAGTTGCTTAAGGAGTAACATTTAAAATTCTTCAGCACATAAAAGATATAAACCTCCCTCTATCATCATTTTATAGGGCAGGTGTTTTTGACAGATCAATCTGTATTATCTCTTGCAGTGCTTTATCTGTGTTCTTGGTAAATCACTAAATTTCATCCATCTTCATAGAATAAAAATTTTTATTTTGTTATTAAATAAACCTAATTGCCCTACCAAATTTGATAGATATTCAAGGCAGATATAGGATCTTACTTTTTACAACAAACACCACTCTTAAACAACCTGAAATATTTCTATTCGTCGTGTAATATCTTTAGCTATACATAAAAGGAAAAAATATTATTTACAGTTATTTAATTCAATGTTCCAGTTTTTCTTATTAGAACTTGTACTTTGCTTCAGACACATATTAATTAGATGTGAAGATAATCACCCAGCTGTCAATTATTCATTGTAATAATTTGCATGTATATAGATTTTAATTAAGTGGCTTCTAACAAGCCAAGTCATTTTATGAGACAGCGACAGAATGTAGTAGTGTGGTACTGATTTTATTATATCTCAGTTGATCTGCTCGACTGCTTTGATTACCTTTGCACAAATACCAAATAGCAGGAAACCAATTTCTAAAAACACTTCCAAAGGACAAAATGCTTCAAATATAATTCAAAAGGGTTTCAGGATTCACTCTTACTTTTTCCTATCTGCTCTACTATCTCACTGCAACACAAAGGCGCTAAGAATAGATCCTTTCACTAACAAGGAATCCAAACTAAGCCTGAATAAACTGTTTTGATACACTTCCCTTTTCTCTGACACCCCATCCAAGTTTTCATTAAAGAAAATCTTTCTAGAGTAAGGAATGGGTGTGGTTAAAACCAGACTAAATGTATCTTACCCAAAGGTTAAAATTTTGCAAAAACAAGGGTTGAGAATTGGTCAAACTGATACATACTTCCTGTTGAATTTCAACAAGTTCCCTTTAATTCAGTCACAGAGATCTGCTAGAATACATGTGATTTGGGTCACATCAGATTTGCCCTCAAATGTAATGAGCAAAGTTTATTCTACTAATAAATCAGGCAATTATAATTTAATACCAGATTGTAATTTTGTGCAAATAGTAACAAATCAAAACTTGACAGAAATGTACCATAATTAAAATAAAATTGAAATTATTTCTCTCTAGTAAGGTATAGTAAAGAATTTGGTTTACCTGCAGTATTTGATGTTACAGGCCTTGCAGGAGCTTCTGGTTTAGTTTCACAGAGAAAGTCGTCAATGGAGGGGCTCAGAAGGGGTCTGCTTTCTTGTTGCTCATTCACTAGCTAGCAACAAAAAAACCCAGGGTCACAGAGTGTTGTTGGGATGTAGAATTTAACGAAATAAAACATATTCTCACAATATCATGCGCTTTATTTTTGATCGTGAGAGTAAGAGATTGCAGTTATAAGATGTACAAATAGCTCTGGGCTTAAAATGAAAAAAAATTGCTCTTTTGGGGCAATATTTTATTCCAGATTTACAAATTGCACAAAAATAAAGCAGCAAGGTGATTTTTCCATAGCAATTATTGCATACTATTGCTTATAGGGCTAAAGTATACAAGGCCTGATGTATCTCCCTTCAAATGAATGGGTGAATTTGGCCTTCTCTATCACCAGGAGATTAAGCAGGGCTTTTTCAGTAATTATAAGTGTTCAGTTTTTTTCACCAGTAACATGCCTCCCCACAGAACTTGCACAATACCTTTTCATCTAGCAAATGTGCATTAGCCCATTAAACAATAACCTGCTGAGACAGAGATCACTTCTCTGCAATGCAAAGACATGTGAGCGACAGTGGATGGAGGCTGGTGAATGTGTGAACTTCCTGCCTGAGTTTTGACTGTGTGAAGGCTCATAACACAGTTTTTATTTATGAGCAGTTTTTTATTGTAATTGCATGAATGCATTGGTTTTCTGCTACCTACAAGAAATCTCTCTATTACAGGCTATTTCATGTATTAGGGATTAAAATGACAAAACGGTAAAACAATCTCATAAATAAAAGTCTCCTCTCTGCAATCTATCTCTGATTGGAGGATCAAGGCCTGAGCTGAGCTGGATGGATGTCTGATGGTGTGGCCTGCATTTACTTTATCTTTAATAATGTGAAAACATGTTTTCCTTCTGTCATTTTCATCTGGAGCTATTTCAGCTTTACTTTTATCCTCTCTACTCTCCTTCTCTCTGTTCTGTTCTCACTCTTTTTCCATTGTTGAATTTCAATTTTTTCCCTCAGATCTATTTGAAATTTTAAATTTAGGACTGAAACTGGCAAAAAATGTGTTTACTCATTGGATATTTGTTAATTACTGTCATTTAACTACTCCAGTAGCAGGATTGCCTCTAAAGTTATTACAGTAAAACATCTTAGATTCACTGTTGTTCAGTACTTGATTTTTGTATTACAAAGTTGCAAGAAAATACTGAAGCTATTGAAATAAAAAGCCCATTATTTTGATGGATCACCCATTTAAGCTGGTACCTAATGCTGACTGACTGTATAATATCTGCACTTATTCATTTGCCCAGGACTTTGCAGTTTTGGACTGAAATACCAATTTACATGAGTAACATGGAAGACAGATGAGTGATTGCTTGCCCAGTTGTGCATAGCAAAACATGCAAATATGGGCATTTAACTTAGAAATCTGGCAATGATACTGTCCCAAACTAATTCTGCATATGTTAAAGCCAGACTGCAGATGCATCTTACAGGGGATTGACCATGTGAGTTTTTAACTCTCTGATTTGGTTGTCCAGGTTGTCAAGGCATAGAAGTTACTTGCTTAATTTATTAAATCTCAACACTTGATTGGAAATTGCATTTATCCCAGCTGCACACCTTTGATTTCCATTAAAGGTGGCTCTAGAATACCCATATTATATCAAAGTCTATACTTTTACCTAATACACATATTTAAGGCTTAAGAGGACCTTATTTTTCTGTTTGTGATTTGGTGACAGTCCTTACTTAGTTCTGTTGTGAAAAAATGAAGGTGGATATCTAGCTAATTCTTGTCTGAATTTAAATATTTTAAAATTTTATTTATGATTAACTCCAGATATCAGCAAATATTGCTTGAATACATTTTTCTTTTTTGTGTTTACACATCCTGTTGCAGGAACTAGTGTCAGTAACAGCTGCTGCACTTTTGCAACAAGTTGCATATTCAGGTGAATATACAGCAATAGGGTACATTATCACGTAAGAGCTGGGTGTTTATCAAGTCTCCCATTACATTCCATGGAAATTTTATTTAATAGGAAAGAACGGGAGAAGGAGGGAATGAAGAAGGATTATGAGAACCAAGACAGCCAGCATAACTCACTGGAGACAGTGAAGAATAGAAAATCTGAAGACCAACTCGAACAGCAATTTATTGCCCAAACTCGTTGCAGGGGTAAGAGGATAAACTCTGCAAAGGCCAGCAATAATGCTGAGAATCAGTCATGGAGGGGAAGGAGACTAGAATCATCAAAGATCTGCATTTCTCCAAGGTTCAACTGAAGTATGAAGTAGCAGATGTCTGCCAGATATTTTTTCTTTTCAAATCTGGTTATCACATCTCTAGCAATTTCTTTATTCTCTTTGCAGCATTTCTGTTTAATTAGAAAACAAATAAGTTCCTCTTCTCTGACTCTCTTACTTTGTGAACATATACACTAAATTCATCAGAGATGGGCCACCCAAATGATCAGAGGAATGAAGAGCATGTTTTACAGGGAGACTGAAAGAGTTTGACTTACTTAGGCTAAAAAAAGAATCTTTCTATCACAGCAGTGAAGTGTACAAACAGTATTTTTTTAGGGTATGGGAACAAAAAGCCTAACTATTTAAAATAGCTTTTCACAAGCTTTCTGTATGGCTGTTTATCATGTGATTGGTTTTGAGAAGTGAACTGTGGCCAAGACAATCCCTCCCAGTCCTGTGTCCTATGCTCCCATGACTAAAGACTGGAAGGGGTAGGGGTGTCTTATTAAAAGTATTGTTTCTGTGAAAAATAATCTGCTTTCAACTGAAATTTCTGAGTCAAAACAGATAGCAAAAGCATGATCAAGTCCACTAATGCTCAGTAAATACAAACTACATATGTGTAGCAATAGAACATATTAGAAAAAATATTTCAGATGTGAAGCAGACTTTTCATGATGAATCAAACCTTAACAGGTTAAAGAGTGCCATGAGCTGATACTTTTGCTGTAGTTAAGCAGGCAGTGGGGTAGGTTTCTGACTTTACTGTGCATGCAGTGTCACTTGGTAAGCCCTCGGTCTCACACTCTGAATTTCATTTTACTGGCTCATATATTGTACCAAATATATCCTTAGTTTAACTCTGCTCAAGTTATTAGAGTTATATCAGGCATGAATTTGGAGTAGTGCTATAAAACATTCATGAGATGAAAACTATTATCTATATTAAAGTAATAATTTATGGTTCTCAAGCACCTTTCAGGGTGAATATCACAGAATGCTTTAAAACATTCATGAATCAAGCCTGTCACCACCACAGAGCTGAGAAGTATTATCTCTGTGTTGCAGACGAGAGAAGCAAAGTGAAATTAAGAAAGCCACCCAACATCACCCGGTGCTGGAGGAAGGAGCCGGCTGGCGCTGTACTGCTGCACAGTATTTATGTGTGCAATATTTGTACACATGCCAAGTAACACAGACTCAGCCTATGAAACTGTTGATTTCCGAGTACTAATTTAGTCAGTGAGTGCCATAAATTCTTATAATGTCTATAAGAACTTAATTTTTCTTTATAAAATCCATTTTAATTAAAGAAAAGTCCCCCACACTCCTTTAACTGAAGGATCTCTAACATCTGTGGAGGGTGATATTTGCTACTACTAATGCATCTAAAGAAACTAATCCATAGTATAAAATACTCCTCCTAAATTCAAATTAATTTTCTGTGACCAACTGCTGTTGGACAGCACCTCAGAAAAAAAAGGTGCTTTTTCCCACCCCAGTACCATTATTGGACTTCTTTGTTCAAAAAGATATATCTGTGGGTTCTTTTGGTGCTTTATTGAGAGAGTCAAAAGCATCATCTAATGGCTGATATCAGCTTCACTGCTTAAATATATCAAAGCGAGGACTATTGATCAGAGATCTGAGACAAGGCGCAGAGGCGGCAGTGGCTGTGCTGGTGGCCATGTCTGCCATGGCTCCCCTCAGCACAGGCTGGGCAGTCCTGCAGCCCAGGGCACTGAGGGGAATCACCTGGTCTCCATTTCTTGTGCCCTGACGCCCACCCTGTCCCCAGCTGTCTGTATTTATTCAGCTGATGTAGTTTATTGCCTGCAGCTGCTAAATTTTCCTTTCCTCAGAGCTCTGCTGTGGTGAATGGTTTCTGTGCTACCTCCAGAGCTGCTGTGAGATAAAGAGGAGGCAGAGGTAGTTCATGGTGGTTCCCTCTCTGGGTGATCCTCAGGCCTGAAGGGTAGGTGGGAGCCCAATAAATGGTACTGGTTTAGGGTCTAAAATATCAAACCCTTGGTGGGCCTGGGTGTGCTGGGCCAGGAGAGGAGACACTGCTGTGGAAGAGGCACTGTGCTGGCCCCTTGAAAGGAAGCAGCAGCCATGAGAGGGATTTCTTGCCTCCAGCTAGTATCCAGCCTGGTCTCAGCTCCCCTCAGTCACCCACCCAGCACCTCTTCCTCTGCCCTGCAGATACCCCTGGATCCTTCCAGGCCTTATTTTCTCCCCTTACCCTCACAGGAGCGCCCTGCCTGGTAAAATACCTTCCTGACACCTCAGCCACAGGGCCTCTCCTCAGGCATGGTGCTGCCATAGGGAGCTCATGTGGGGCACAGTGAGCCCCCAGCTCACTGCCATGGTGGCAGCTCTGCTGTCCTCTACAAACTTGTTTTCTGCTCATCTTCAGGGCCTTTGGCTTATGGTTTTAATGCAGGTGCCTCTTGTGATGCTGGTATCTATGGTGGTGTGTTTCACTGTGCCAGAGACAATGTGAGATTATGTATGTACACAGCAACTGCTATGGCTTGGCTTTGCTCCCAGTCTACATCTTATGCTGCCGTGAGAGAGTTAATGAAATACCTAAGGAGTAGCTTGTTTTAAAAGGACAAAAAAAAAAAAAAAGAAAAAAAAAAAAAGAGGTTGGGTACTTGGGAGGTGACAGGGCTCTGCTATGAAAAGTTTCCACAGAGCAGCTGTGTTTGGCCTTAAGGCAGATGGAGCTCAGGGGAACAGCTGAGAGGACCAACTTCTCACCTACTGTCACGTTCACAGTTGATAACGTTCAGCTGCACAACCA